TCATCATCATCATCATCGTCATCACCCAGATTTTGTGCATTGTTGTCCATAGAAGCATCTGGTATGTCACATGGCCTGCCGTGATTTGAGTATCTGGGATGAGTGATACTCTGTTGTGAAAGGCTTAAACAATGGAAACACATTTACAATGTTTGGTGTGCAGAAGAATTTGTTCATTGATTTACACCATAGTTGATACAGGGGAATGGTTTTGAAGCCCGGCAAACATCAGAGGAGCAAACAAAGATGCCAAGGTTTGTTGGAAGGTCCACGACCATGCACAAACTTTTGTTTTGCACTCATACACTATGCATGAATTACAGAACCAAAACGTTTCTATTGGTTTGCTCCTCAGTCAGAAGTAAACAACTGTTGTGTTTTGTGCACAGTCAAGGTCAAAAAAAGTGAACAAAAACTACAACGATGAACTTTGTTGGGTTTCATAACCATTCCCCTCTATTAACTACATGTATGACTTGTACATAAGAACTCAGAGAAAGCAGCTTCAACGCATCCTAACAATCAAATGAGTTTTCTTTCTACTAGACAAGTGCATTTTCAGAGAATCAAAGTTTTGCACGCATCACCTGCTACATTTCTTTTGAACATTAATTTTCTAGCCTTGAAATGCGGTCAGTTTGAAATGGAAAATATACCAAGTTTCTTCAATGAACTATTGACTAGGGAGCCCAGTTCCCCTCCCTGGCCACTCTCAGGATTGTAGAATTGGAGGAGGGAACAACAAAAAAATCTTACAACCACAAAAAGCAAAGCAGGATGACTTGAGAGGCTCAAAACCTTGAGCATAGAATTGTTGTGTGATATGTGTAGAGTAATAAGGAATTTTTCTGTGGGATCGAATCAAGGATCGAATCACTGATTTCACAGTGCATATACAAAATCAAAAATACACAACAACAGAAGGACAATCAGACTATTGCTTCTGCTGTTGTTGTACTGATTTCTGTTTATAAGTACACAGAAATTGTTGCCGATGTTAAACATTACCTTGTACTTGGTAAAGACTGGTGTGGTGGTGATTCTCCATTTGTTATTGCCTTCATACTATTGATCTTCTCCTGCCATCGTTTCATTTCTGTAATCTGGAGTTGCATATTACGAAGCATGTCAAAGTTGATTTTATTGTAGTCCTGGTATTGATATCCCACTACCATAAGCACAAGGGTGGCTACTATAATAGAAAGCTTTCTACAGAGCCACAGTCTTCCATGAATAACCTCCTGCAAGGAAAAAAAAGGGTAAATAGTAAATGTGGTTACTGGGTTAGTTTATGATAGCATTGGCTTCTTTGACCCATGCAATGTATTTCTCAAAAACCCTGGCTGTTACCCTTACTGCATCTATCTCCAAACATGAGCAAAACTGGGCACAAGTCAATTGCCAGGGCAACTAAATTGAAAAATTGCTGAAGGTGGGCCTGCAATGGATGGGAAATCCATCTAGGAATAGGCTCAATTTCTGCCACTCTTTTGAGGCTGGTCTTGTTTCTTTTCTGGGAAGAAGTGCATTAGACTTCTCACAAGTCAAACTTTGCTTTTATCTCCCTCAAGCAAAATGAGAGGGCAATCTTCAAGAGACGAAGTCTCGAGCATGAGTGACATAAGTCCCAACAGGTCCTTTCCAGCAGCAGAACCAACAGGCCAGGGAAGAATTATTGGAAAGGACGTTAGAAAGTCTAGGAGTACATACTCCTTTCCTTTAACAGCAGCTAGTAATTGAGTCTAATCCAAGAAGAGTAACAGTTTTCCTTGTTACTTTATTTTTTAGAAACTGGAGTGAAGCAATGGCACTTATGAGCCCCTTGGCTTCTCATTAGACTGTTCTAGACTTTACCTATACTCCCATCGTGGATGATAACTCACTATAACTCACTATAAAGTTTTTGTTACTTTCAGCAGCCTGTCAATGGCCTGTATATACCGTAAAAAAATATTTGTAATCCAAAAGGATCAGTTGCTGTGTGGCACAGTTAACAGTTCAAAAGTCGTAAATAGTAGTAATGCGGTGCCAAATTAAAAACGATGTTTATAGCAGACGTTTCGGGCCCAGCCCTTCCTCAGTGCTAAGTTAGCACTGAGGAAGGGCTACGCCCGAAACGTCTGCTATAAACATTGTTTTTAATTTGGCACTGCATTATTACTATTTACAACTTTTGAACTGTTTATACCATAGTTCATAGGATGAGTGTACCCTTTACCAATTATACTGAAACACAAACCTTTGACTTAAATTCAGTTAGGTTAATAAAACAATGACACCACTACTTTACATAGGACACTTAGAGTTAAGAAAGTCATTGTAATAATAAACAAAAGCAATTTTATCATATGGCTCACTCATTGGCTAGCTCTATGAGTCAGGGCAAGATGAACCAAATCCTGTGCTACGACAGGGGTTACACTGACATTTTCAACAGGAGGGCAACTGGTTTTCATAGGCAGGAAAAAGTTTTTGAACTGAACTTCTTTATGAGATGGTCAAACCAGATAGGTAAAATTATCCTCACAGCTGGTAAATTTGCCCGGTGCGCGGCCCTTAATGGAAGCCCTGTGTGATTGGCCACCTGAGTGAGCAAGATGGGGCTATCTTCCTACTCCAGATTACCCATCATTTCCTGCAAGAAAATGGTGTTATTTATGCTAAATAATAAATCAGATATGAACTAATACATCCTATCTTAACCAAGCTTTTTCAATCAAGAAGGCCTTGTTCCTTTTTTGCTTGTTTAATCATCTTGGACCATAAACAAGAAAAAAACAGAACTTGGTCAATATCAAGCTTTCTTGACCTCTCACTTGGTCAATATCCCACATCTTACTGTGTCAGTTGACTGGGTGTCTGCCACTCCCCAAGATGTCATAAGCCGTTCAATGAACATAAGAACAAACAACCCAATAAACAGTGGAAGTCTAGCTGCTGCTGTACGCGGGGTACTGGTAAGGAAATAACAGGTACATACTGCAGCAATGTAGAACGCTACAGATTGCAAACTTATGAACTCTCCAAGAATCATGGATTGAAGTTTCCTGACTTTCTCCACACTTTTGAAGAACCCATCAAATGTTTCAGAAAACAAAGCCTTTTGTTCAAGGGCGTTTTGCTTCATGTCCTCAAAAGCTTTCTTAGCATTTAACGTAGAGTTTCGAAGTGTCTCAGATAGATGGATTTCGTTTGAAATGATCTCCTTCTGGTTTTCCAGTGAAACATTTTGCTTCTCTAGTACCAGAAATTGTCTTTCAGCAGATTCCTCCAGCTGCTCTGCGACATCTTGTGAAGTTCTTGACAGTTTGGAGATTGTATCTTCCGTTCTTTGTTGCCATATTTCGCTTTTAACATAGAAACAGATGTTAGTTGTATGAGTGAAAAATGTCGTGTAAGCGAGATAAGTCGTGTCGTCCATTGATCCCGTACATTGCTCAATCGACTGTGTTTCCCTTGAGCACGAATATATTTTCCTTCCTGACTTCGACATATGGCAGTTTGTGAAATCAATCGCCAGATAACTCTGTTCAATATCTCCAAGACTCTTGCAACGTTTCTCGATGCCTTGAACGGCTTTCCTCCAGCAATCGCTGCTTTTGGCGTTCGCAGTGAACTCCTCCAGTTTGGATTTCCCATCGTGTATTCTGTCTTTGGATATAAGCTCAAAATCAGCCACTTTGCCGACATTGATCGACGCTGAAGCGAAAGCAACACTATAAAACAACAGAATAAATAAAAGACCAAAGAACTTTGTAAACGCCATTTTGTTTTTCTTCTCTTTTAAGTTTGGCGCTCAACCGGGACCAAGGTCACACGACAAATTGCGTTACCCTGGTAACGACCCAAGACGCAGGCTTGCGGGCATGGGAAATAAACGGCACGCAATGCATGCAGAAGCGATGACGTTTAAAAATTGTTCCTAGAAGATTAGAACATGAGCAAACAAACTGATTCTTAAGCTTTTGGGTTAGAATTTTTAGGGGTTTACATTTAGGGTAGTCCATTGGTGGTTCATTCAAGTAGTTCATGTACCAGGTCCAACTTGTTAGTCCATATGCCAGGGGTCAGCGAAATGTACCAACCCAAATAAAAAGCATTCCGCTGAAAAGTTCCTCTCTCTGAAATCAACACCTTAGTATCTTTAAAGATATCTGGCAAAGCTAACTACCTCACCGGAAATTAATTTGTTTTTTTTAACCATATACTTGTCCAAGAGAAAATCATTTTCTCTCGACTTGTCACATCGCGTGTGCGACCCGCTTGTCTACCTAACATTGTATGTATCGAAGATATGTTATTATGAGTTTGCCCGTGAGCGCAAACTTATCCGACACTGTATAAACTAAAATCCACCCCCAAATCTTCGTTTAAAAACTGAAATTAAAAGCACTCGCTGATCCTACAAATTAAACAGCAAAGGAAAGCCGCAAAGTACAAGTTTCTCTCTCTGAAATCGACACAGTATTATCTTTAAAGATATTTGCCAACGCTAATTACCTCACAGAAAATTAATTTGTTGTTAACAGTATACTTGTCATCAATGAACATTCGTATTGTCTTTACCCTGACAAAACGATTATCGATTGTTTAATCACAGCCACTCTTTCGTTGACAGAAAATATAAAACAGCACATTTGCAAAACCTCATAAAAAACTGAAAACTGCAAATGAATCGTACCCTGACTTCATTATCACTACTGTAAACTGTATATTTCAGAGCTCATACAATGCTCATTCAATTCACTTCAAGGCTGGCTAAAGTACAACTGCGCTACCAATCCGTAAATTTTATTTAGACCCTTCAGCTATCGCGTGTACGACTTGCTTGTCTATCTAAATTTGTATATACGGACGATATGTTCTTATTACGAGTTTGCCAGTGAGTGCAAAGTTATCCGACACTGTATAAACCAAAATCAACCCCCAAATCTTCGTGTAAAAGCTGAAATTAAAAGCACTCCGCTGATCCTACAAACAGAAAAGAATAGCCGCAAAGGAAACCCGCAAAGGAATGTTACTCTTTCTGAAATCGACACCTTATTATCTTTAAAAATATTTGGCAACACTAATTACCTCGCCGGAAATTAATTTGTTGTTTTAACTGTATACTTGTCGTATCGATTAAAAGCAGTCTGCTGATCCTACAAACAGCAAAGGAAAGCCGCAAAGCCTTCACCTATCGCCTGTGCGACTTACTTGTCTATCTAAACTTGT